AAAAAAGAAGCAAGATACACCATGTACAGGTACAAGTTCTCTATGATGAACATGATCATTATGTATATGTAAAATCTACCAATAAAATTTTTAAAAGCACAAGCAAACAAAAAAAAAGAATAGAAAAGGAGCTATTAGAAAAGAAAAAGTGTGCTATAGGAAGGAAGAAAGAATAAGGAATGCTAGATATAATTAAATTTGTCATATATGTGTATGAAAATATTACAATGAAACTCATTGTATAATTAGAATGTTAAAGTAAGTGCTTTTTAAAAAATTATGTCCCTCTTGTGGGTGAAAATACGTTTGGTGAAAAGAAAAATTTGTTTTTTTCTGCATTTCCTTCTATGTACCACTATTAACTTGCCTATTTTCCTTCTTGTGAAATTGGGAATTACCTATAAAACATTGCTTTGGAAAGATGAGGCAGGAGGATCACAAGTTTGAGCCCAGGCTCAGCAATTTAATGACTTGACCCTGAGTTTGATCCCAAGTACCACCAAAAAAGGAATAATTAGCAATCATTTCTTCTATTTTTGATCTAACATATTTTCACATTTTCAACCGAAAATGCTTCAGCTAAGCTGGTAGTGGTGGTGCATATCTATAATCCCTGCACTAAGAAGGCTGAAACAAAAGTGTCACAAAGTCAGCCCCAGCCTGGACTGCACCTAAGATACTGTGTCAAAAAAAAAAAAAAAAAAAAAAAAAGAAGTTAAGCTAAAGCAGAAACTTCTGAATTTCGAAGTTTTATGGCCCATTTGATTTCTTAGGGTTTTTTAAAATGCTTTTCTTGTTTGATTTTTATTCCTTTAGCTAACCTTACAGTGTAACTTGCGAGCAGTAATATATTTACATATTTTTTCTTTTGTGGTGCTAGGGATGGCACCCAGGACCTCACATTTGCTAGAAAGGTGCCTCCCACTATTTACATCCCCAACTTTGATTAACAATTCACTATGGACCCCGAAATGTGCAATTTTTGTCTTATATAACTAAAGTGTCAAAGTGTGAACAAATTTATGTTCATTTTAAAGCCTATGAATGTCCACTCTTGGTTGAAGGGAAGGAGAGTGTTTTACCCCGTTGCTCAGCCAGAAAATAGCTTGACCCTGCCAAATCCTTTCTTCCCCACAGTAGAATCCTTTTCCCACCATTTCATTTTCTACTTTTATAAAATGGGATTGTTTCACTTCTTCCTAATTAAAGCCTGTGGAAGTACTTTTAAAGACGATCATAAGATGTATGATGGTAGAAAAGTGAAAACTATCATTACTGTATTTTTAATCATCATGTTAAGTCTCCACATAGACACACCCACCTCTCCATTCAAGCAGTCTTTTTGCAAAGGTGTATTTCACAGCAATGATGTCAGAATGAGAGATCTCTGCTTTTGTCCTGAAAGCTGTAAAGTTTCCAAATACTAAACTCCTGATGAGACTCTTAAAACATATTAAATAAGTGCGAATGTCCCAATCTGACTAAAAGCATGGACAGCGAATCCTTTTTTGTCTACATAGTAAACGGACATTTTAAAAGTGGTCATCAACCAGGCCTGGTGGCACGTGCCAGTAATCCCAGCACTGGTGGGGGGGGACGCCGAGGCACAAGGCTAGTTGAGAGTTCGAGACCAGCCTGGGCTACAAAATGCATTCAAAGCCAGCTCAAACCACATAGCGAGACCCTGTGTCAAAAAAAGTGGTCATCCTGGTATAGTACAGCATACACCTAAACTTGCAACACTTGGGAGACTGAGGCAGGCAGATGAGACTTCGAGGCTAGCTGGGCTACATAGCAAGATCCTGTCTGAAACAAAAAGTCGGCGTCCCAAAGGTACACTCTGCCAAAAAAAAACAAGGACAAGGTACTAAAATAAGTGCTGAAATTGCATGTTCAGAAAATGTCTGCAAAGACCCCCAGAGCCCTGCCGCTGCCGTAGGATCCCTCAGCAGGAAGCAGGGAGCTGCAAGAGTCCTGGCGCCTGGCATCTGTAGAGGGGCAATGAGCGACTCTTCAATCCTGAAAGGCCGAAGCCCTCTAGAAATACTGCCCAGGGCACTGACAATCCCAGCTTCAGTTACAGCCATGCAACTCTTTGAAGTTCTAATATATGAAATTCAAATTCTCTTGTGGTGGGAAACCCTGGATGTTTTTCCAGAATCCACGGAAATTTGTCTGGAGTAGTAAGACAGGACAGGAGAACCTTACATTTTTAGCTTGGTTCAGATTTCCAGCTAGCTCAGAATTTTCGGTCTCCCGTATTTCACGTCTGATTTTCTCTCCACAACTCTGTGTCACAGCTAACATGTAATAAAGCTCCCCTTCCTCAATTTCCCCGAAACAGCACTCACCAAGGCTGCTGGGAATTACAGCAGATGTTTACTGAGGATTTGGAGGCAACCAAATCCTCAGTGCCACCTCTCAGAAGAGCCTTGAGAAAAATTTAAAACAAAGCGGTGGATGGGCGGCTCCCGTCTCCCTCCAGCCCTCCAGCCCCTCCTTCTCCTCAGCCTCCTTTGTTCCTGTCCCTCGCTCGCTCCCGCTCCCGGGCAGCTCCTCCAATTGCCATCCTTTTATTATGCTGCGCGGTCCAGCTTTCCCTTTGTCTCGTCCTGGGCTCCGCCGCCCCGCTAATCTTGCTCTACCCACAATGGCTCCGTGAGTTTGCTTTCCTGACAAAGACAGCTCTCCCCCAAGATTCGTGCACGGATGCTTTGAGCGACAATTCTCGGGAAAACCGCCTCTGGTTTCAATCTGTAGCTCCCAAACTTTTGATTCTCAGGATTTATTAATTCTAGTAAAAATTAATTGAGGATCCCAACGAGCTTTTGTTATATTGGTTGATGGTTATATTTATCAATACAGACTGCAGTAGAAATTCATACTAAGAATTTTTAAGTGCATATTTATGTATTTAAAAATATTTACGGCTGTTGATGTGGCTGAGTGGCTAGCACTCTAAGACTCTGGGCTCCCGCCCCAGCACTACAAAACCAACAAATCATATGCCCATTATATACTAATATAAATATGTTTTTATGAAATATTTTCCAAAACAAAAAAATGAGAATGACATGGTTTTACATTTTTGCAAATATCTTCCTCATCTGACTTTGAAGATAACCTGATTCTGTTTCTCTCATCTGTTCAAGAGATAAATACCGTATAGCCACTTGAAGCCTAAGACTTGTTGAAAAAAAGATCAAAAAGGCACCAGGTCAAACAAACTTTTATAAATGTCATGCTAAAATGCCCACTCTGATGTGGCACGGTTAACACAGCTCTTTCAGGATCTGACTTCATCCCAACATTAAATTTCCAGACAATACAGGTCTGTAAACAGCAAGATGCAAATGAGATATCAGCATATTGTAACAAGAACAAAGGGCAAAATCTTGACAGGAAAAACAAAACCAGTAAATATTTTGAGAAACAATTGGTACAGGATGAATGTCAATATCTAACAACTATAGATGATAAGGGAGGGTCACAGAACAAAGAATATGTTAGATCTGAGAAGAGGGGGAAGAGGAAGAGGGGAAAGAAGGGAAAGAGGTCCGCGGAAGGAGTGGAGTGGACTGCCGTGAAAGTAGTGGGCGGCGGTGGCTGCAAAGATAAGAAATATAAAATATAAGTAACCTTTTATTTCGGGAATGCGAGGAGAGACACCCCCCCCCCGCCCTCCCCCGGCCCCGGGCGCAGCATCTCCACCCCGGGGCCGATGGTCTCTCTCTGGAACACACTCTCCCTTTCTCCTTCTCCTTCTCCTTCTCCTTCTCCTTCTCCTTCTCCTTCTCCTTCTCCTTCTCCTTCTCCTTCTCCTTCTCCTTCTTCTTCTTCTTCTTCTTCTTCAACACGTGGAGTGAGGCCCATAAGTAACCTCTGTCTGGGGTGGACCCCAAGGGGCATTAGGGATGCACAGGTGTTTTACTGGCACACATTTGGCGCCAGGGACAGGTTCTCAGGGATGGGGGTATAGGGTTACAGGCAAATCTATAGGGGCGGGGGAGGCAGGAGCCCCCTAACTTGGCTGAGGCTTTTCCTGGTTAAAGTGTCCGGTCTGGGCCAGCAACTCTTTCAGAATAAAGCGTCAAAAACTAGAGATTAAACTTTTAATCTCTATGCACAGGGTTGAGGGTATACCTCAGTGGTAGAGCACTTGTTGAGCATACCTGTGGCTGGCAGTTTAATCTCCAGCCCTAAAAGAAAAGAAAAAAAACCTCCAAGCAAGAATTTAAAGTAAAAAAAAAAAATTAAAGTATCCAGCCAAGCATGGTGGCACATGGCTATAATACCAGCTACTCAGGAGGCTGACAAGGCTAGCCAGAGGATGGAGATTAGGGCTAGGGCAAAATCCATCAAAGAACTAGTGTAATCTGTCAAAGTCATAAGATCCAGGGCACATGTGCAGAACACAGAATCCAAAATCACTCTGCAGTTCCTTGAATACTATACATGGAACCAATCAAAAAAATGCTACCTTGAAAATTTTTATTAGTACATGTTTATAGTTCATGCAGTTTACAATCTTCTTGGGAAGTGGTTAGGTGTACATACCTCAGTTTGTTTCTTTTTTAATCCCCTTTCCTCCCCCTTCCTCTCTCCTCCTCCAATTCCCCTATTCCATTTTTCATTCTTGTTGATATTATTAATCTTGTCATGACATACAATGTTTACATTAATTGGGGTTATTAGGCTCCTGTACATGACATATTTTATTCATGACATATTTCCCCTTCCCCTCACCCTTCCCCCTCTTGCCCTTGTAGCACGTCCCTGTTGCAAGATATCCATCTCCTAATCCCCTCCTATCCATCCTTTATTATTCACCATAGGGTATTTAAATTTGTGTGTCCGGTTTATTTCACTCAACATTGTATTTTCCAGATGCATGTATTTTCCTACCAATGTCTCAAATCTGTCGTTCTTTATAGCAAAATAGTATTCCATTATATAGAGATACCTCATTTTCTTTATCCAATCATCTGTTGATTGGTGTAAAAAATATGGAGTCCTTCACGAATCTGCCTGCTATCCTTGTGCAGGCGCCATGTTAACATTCTCTGTATTGTTCCAATTTTGGTGCATGTGCTGCAGAAGGGAGCATGAAAATTGCTATTTTTAGTTCTTCATTTACATCTGTTGTGAAACCAAGCAAGCCCCTCGATAGGATACTTTAAATCAGTGTGACTGTTCACTGGCCCGCTGTGCTCTGCAGAACATACTTCCTTTCCGCCTTCAGTAGATGTTTGTCCCTGTTACCCAGTTCTGGGGTTGTGGGGTTTCCTTCTTTCCAGAAACAGTTTCTAGGTTTTTCTTGACTTGGGCAAAGGACTGGACACAACAAGCCCAAGAGGTAGCGAGGTTTTACATTTATTAAAGATAGAACAGGAACGTGTTCTGCAAAGCAAGTTTGGGTCAAGGGAAAGGAAAAGTAGACTGTGCAGCGTGAGAGAATACTGAGGAAGAGTGAACTTAAGCAGCCTGGAACTCAGTGCCAGCGTCCTTTTGTACTTCCTCCTCCTCCTCCTCCTCCTCCTCCTCCTGCTCGGGCTGCAGTCAGGTCTAGGCGGTCCTGTGGGAGATTTGCTCCAGTGCTCGAAAGATGAAGGGAAGCCAGCACTCTGGTTGGTTCCACATGCAGGGCTTTGGGAGCTGTTCTGCACACATCCTGGGACTTTGTGATTAACAGATCAAGGCCACTGCCTCATCTCCACCACCTTTTCTGTGTGTCTTATCCAGGTCTTTTTCAGGACCTGGATAAAATTTCCCTGGGATCTAAAAGCCACTAACAAGCCCAGTGAGATCCAATCTCAAAATAGAAGAGTTTTTACAAAGACTGGGAGCCAGGTGTCGTTGTACATGCCCGTAATCCCAACACATTTGGGAGGCTGAGACAGGCCATCCTGGGCTACATAATGAGTTCCAGGCCAGCCTGAGCTACAAAGTGAGACCCTGTCTCAAAAATCCCAGAAGGGGAGTTGGGGTGAGGATGTAGCTCAGTGGTAGAGTGCTGGTAGGTCCATTTCCAAGAAACACCAAAAGAATAAATGAAGGAAGGAAGGGAGGGAAGGAGGGAGAAAGGGAAAGAAAAAAGAAAAAGTTAATTAATTAAAGCATTCTAGGTTAATAGTAGAGGCAAATACCAGAGCACACCAAAAACTAAGCCTAATTGATCAAAAATTTTAGAAAAATACATTGATTAAAATTCTCACTTAGCCAATAGGAAACAAGGATGTAAGGGTGATCTGGCTGTGATATCTGTCGCCCATTGATCCCCAGGACTGATATTGCTCATCTGGCTGGCTGATATGATGTCTCTTTCCTCCTTCATCACTCCATGTGTGTCCCCCGCAGAGCTACACCACATTCCCTGATCAGAGAGGGCCATTCTACAGTTCAGGCTATATGAGCAACTGTGCCCCCCTGCTGGAACTTCCAAATAAGCTCTCAAGGTTCAAAAAGGAAGCAAAAGGCTTAAAATCCCCTACATAAACTCTGTGAATTGAAAGAGAGAAAACAAATTAAAAATAAAACTTAAAAGGAAAGAGTACAGTAAAATTTCATCGATGAAAGCATTAAATATCAACAAGCTGTACTCTCCTATCAAAAGGAGGCAGCTTACTGACTGTTAAAAGCACAAAATCTAACAATTTGTTGCCCACAAGAGGTACACAAACCAAAAACATAACCCACAGAGTAGCGGTGTCAGAGGAGATACCCCTTTGTAAGCAGAAGAAAAATTGGGATTACTCTTTTGGTATCAGATAAAGCAGATGTCATAGCAAAAAGCAAATATTAAGATCATTACACAGTGGTCAAATGTATTAAATTATGAGAATCACAAAAGTACTGATTTTGTATGTATTGCTAAAATCATTGCAACCAAGTCCATCAAAGAAACAAAGATAAATATTATTTTAATTTGAATTTTCAGTATTCCATTTCTGAAAAGTGTACAAAAATAAAGTGGGGAAAGCCATATAATTGAATAATTGGTTCAACAAAAATTTAGGGAGACTCACTATGTTCCAAGATCTTGTTACATGCTAGAAGATAATTTCATAAACAATATGAAAGTAGGAGATTAAGGCTGGGGCGAGCCAGACAACTAACTGGGTGGAATGTGTTAAAGTTCCTAAAAACCTATGGCCAACAGATTGAGCAAGATGTTTCCTAAAAAAAGAGAATATGTGCCAAACACAGGACCTCAAAAGACTCCACAGCTCTTGAGCCCTATACACATAACCAATCAGAAAGCAATATATTCATCCTTCATTTGGATCTGGTGCCATTTGCAGGTCCAATCAGAAGAGGCTTTTTTTAATTTTTCATTTCATGCAGGCACAATCAATCAAAAGATGTAGTTTCTGATCTCTCATTTACCTGTGGTGGGAAACCAAAGTGAGTTTTCTGTTGTGAGAGTTTATATGTAGCATGACAACAAATGAGTTATTGATTGGACAAATGTCCCAATTCCTTATGTTCATGAGGAGGAGGCCAAACCAGATATTCTGGGTGCAAAAGATCCCTTTCCCCTTGTCCTCTGGGCCACTGTCAGTCTTTTCACTGCCCTGCTCTTGACCTATAAAGTGTGTTTCCTTTCTACTTTCAATAAATGTGCACCTTGCTGCTTTTTGTGTGTGTGTCCTGTCCAATTTTTTGTTCAGGACACCAAGGCCCATGGAAAGAAGCCCTGTGTGACTCTCTCCCACAAGTCTAGTAACAATATGACTTTAACAGACATATGGAGAGATTAAAGAGGGGGAAAGTTCATATAGTCTCTTTTCAAATGTGAGTACACTTTCACCTACAAGCCAACATAAAAACCTGACATCCAATATTCATCAGTAAAGACTCATGCTTTTGTTTTTATTCATTGAGACAAGATCTCACTACATAGTCCAGCTGGTTTTGATTTGCTGTGTAATCCAGTCTGCGTTTGAACTCACAATTTTCCTGCCTCAACTTTCCAAGTACAAAGATTCATTCTGTCATTAGTGTAATACACAGTAATGAATTTATTCAACATATTGTTTGTTATTCACAAAAAATCAGAAATACCACAGAAACAAACAAGGAAATAAAATTTTTTAAAACATTGGGGTATGGTAGTGCACATCTGTAGTTCCAGCAACATTCAGAAGGCTGAGGCAGGAGGATTGCCACAAGTTCCAGGCCAGCCTACATAGTGAGTTTAATGCCAGCCTGAGCTATTTAATGAGACCTTGTCTCAAAAAAAATTTTCCTTATATAAAAACAAAATAGGATGCCAATCACATAAGAATATTTTGAGACTGTCTTTGGTAGTGCCTGGGTTGTGCAGGAAATCCTGAACATATGCAGTAGACATCTGTCATTTGTACCCAACTGCATTTCCACCCACCCCACCCCCATTCTTCTGGTAACAGAAGCCACCTCTTTCCTTGGGGAATTTCCTCTCCTCCACTGTGTGTCACTCTGGTGGAACTTTCAATCCTGTGCTTCTATGATGAGGAGGTGACCCAGACTGCCAGTGTAAGTCATGCTCCTGACGACAGCAGTTGTCCTAGAATTGGCCTGTGACTCAAACAGACCAATCAGAGTCTTTTAAAATACTGATATGGGCCCTGGGGGAAAAGAGTCAGTAAATTACCCAAGATTCTGAGGGTTAAGGAAGACATAAATCTAGTGACAGTAATGGCCAGGTCAATTACTATGTGAGACTGAAACTCACGCAAGGAAAAGAACCAACACATGAAAGTGGCAGGGCCAGAATCCTAATGCCATCTTAGAGCCCTGGATCCAGCCATGGATGCTGGAGCCAGTTCCTAAAACCAAGAAACTTTCCCCCTTTAAAAATTGTGGTAAAATATACAGATTGTAAAAGTGGCTATTTTGATCCTTTTTTAAGAGTATGGTTCAGTGCTGTTAGGTACACTCACATTGTTATACAATCATCACCACCATCCTTGCCTAAACTTTTGTATTACCTCAAACTGAAATTCTATGCCTATTAAATAATAGCTCCCCATTCCTTCTTCCCCCTAAAAAAACTTCCCCCTTTGTAATTAATCTGTTTTAAGTTAGATTTTTGTAAGTATTATATATAGCAAGAACTATACAAGTATTCATACATTTTGTCACAGTAATTTTATTCTAGGGAGTATAACTCAAAGAATACTCTGCTCCCTACACACAAAAATTATATTGAACAAAAGCATTCATAGCAGGTTGTTTATGGAGAATTATGCAAACTACATGGTATATCATAATATGAGAGAAAACAATGAATAATTTTAATGACATGTGAACCATGAAAATATGAAAATGTTCATATAAAATAATATAAAGTTTTAGAAAAGCAAGAGAAACAGGTACACACTAATTATAACTAGGGATGGTTGGCCTAAGGCCACATGTCACAAAAGAGTGTATTCAAACAGTCATCAAGCCTGTGGAAAGTTGCTTAGCATCATTAGTCATCAGGGAATTATGAATTAAAACCATAATGCACTATGACTTCACATTCACCAGAATGCCTCCAACAAAAAAGACAATACCAAGTGTTGGACACGGTATAAAATAACTGGGACACGCATACAGTGCCACTGTAGGTCAAATTGATACAATGATACTAGAAAACCATTTGGTGGTATCTATTGCACTCCAGGGAACGCAGCCAAGAGAAGTTCACATAGTCACACGTTCATATTGGTGCCATCGCCCCTAGCCCCAAATTGAAAACTACTCGAATGGACACCAGCCGTAGAATGGATCAGTAAATCATGGACATGGTGTTCCCGCAGTGGAATATGTACTGGGTGGCAATCCATGCCCTGCTGCCAAGTCCAACCCTGCTGTTTTCTGGCAAATGAGGTTTCATTGGCACAGAAATGTGCTCATGTTTTTATGTATTGTCTGTGACCTCTTTTACATTGCAATTGCAAAGGTGAGCAGTTGCAACAGAAACCAGACAGCTCCCATGCCTGAGGAAGTTAGGATTTGGCCCTGTACAGAAAAAGTTTGCTGGGCTGGGCTATGCAGCAATAAGGGACGAACGACAAATGTGGAGCAAATGGTTGAATCTCACAGACTGTTGAATGAGGAGCAAAGAAGGCGGCTACA